GTATTTCCCCCCCCGAATAAAACATGTCATAATCGTTCGAGTAAACATGTATTTCCCACTGGGAAAAACGTTAATTTCCCACTCGTCCTTCAGAGTACAGCAGTACTTCCCCCCTCCGTACTGAAAAATTGTCACTCACCCTACAGAGTACAGGGTGTACTTCTCACGCAGAACTTTTGCATTTCCCCCACCCTTAGAGTACAAACCGGTTCCCACCACCAGAACTGAACATTTCACCCCCCTTTTCAGAACGACACTGTACTTCCCACCCCCGAACTGTAACATTTACCCATCCTTCAGAGTGACATGTATTCCCCCCCACAAGAACTGAAAATTCTGACCCACCCTTCAGAGTCAGACGTGTACTTCCCCCCAAAAAACTGTAACTTTATCCCCAGTCCTTCAGAGCCCGCGCTGTACTCGCACCCCAGAATGACATTTACCCATCCATCAGGTACAGACATTATTCTCACCGCCAGAATGTAGCTTCCCCACTACCCTTTCGGGGAAAGAACTGTACCCCCCAACTCCAAAACTGTAACATTCTCCCCCACCCTTGGTACGACATGTAATTGAACCAATTGAACTGAAAACTTTCACTCACCCCTTCAGGGTGCAGACACTGTATTCCCAACTTCGAAGTGAAACTTCTAAACCTTAGGTACAGACATGATTTCCCACCCGGGAACTTAACATTTACTTATCCCAGAGTACAGCACTGTACTTCCCCCTCCAGAACTGTAACTTTACACCCATTCTCAGGTACAGCATGTAATTCCCCCCTCCGAACTGTACATTTCCCCCTTCTTCAGAGTACAGACCTGTATTTCCCACCCCCAGAACTGAACATTTCACCATCCTTCGAGTATGCACGTACTTCCCCCCTCCGAACTGTAACTTTTCTCACCCATCCTTCAAGTTAGACATGTACTTGCACCACCAGAACTGTAACACTGTCACTATCCTTAGAGTCAGACACTGTACTTCCCACCCCCAGAACTGAAAATTTCTCACCATCCTTCAGAGTCTGACACTTACCCCCCACCCCAAAAACTGTAACATTCTCCCCACCCTTCAAGAAAGACATGTATTTCCCACCTCCAGAATGTAAATTTTCCATTACCCTTCAAGCAGCCCGTCTTTCCACCACCAGAACTGAAAACTTTTCTCACCAATCCTTGGGAGACAGACACTGCATTCCCACCTCCGAACTGTAACATTCTCCCCACCCTTCAGGTCAGCCTGTGTTTCCCTCCATCAGAACTGTAACACTGTCATATCCTTAGGTCGCACGTACTTCCCATCCCCCAATGTAAATTCTCACCCATCTTCAGAGTACGCACTGGGGTTTCCCCTCCTCAGAACGAAAACACTGTCATACCTTCGAGAAAGGACATGTGTTTTCCCTCCTCAGAACTTTAACACTGTCACTCACCCTTCGAATTGAACTAATAAAAAACCCCAGATCAAAACAAAAACTATACAAAGGACCTCAACAAAAATATAAAAACCAGATCCCAAAAAACACTAATTTAAAAAGATTCCAAACCCCTAGAAACACCGATCCCCAACAAAAATAAAAAAGCACCCGATTTCCGGGAAAACAAGAAGATTTGCTTTTCAATTGAAGGGAAAAAAGAGGAACCCTTATGTCCATCTCTTTTGTCGAGGGGGTGGGGAAAAATGTGTAGGGAGTGTACAGGTGTGAAGGTGTGGAGGGTTTGCCCAGGTGTATTTTACAAAAAGCCTTGCAAAGATACCACGATACCACAGGAAAAATTGGCGGGGTTTTGGGCCCCCGGGGGTCTGGTGGCTAAAGCCCCGCTTAAAACGGGGGCCGGGTTCGATTGGGGGTGGAAAATTCCCCACCGTTTTTTACACCTATTGTCCCGTTCACCTGCGCAAAAAAGGTACCCGGGTTAGTGACTGGTGTGGGTGCATTGGGGGGGCAAGTTAAGGACCCCAAAGGAAAAAAAGTTAACGTCCTGATGACGCACTGACTTTTTTGGGTTATCCCGGGTGGCTAACCCGGGGTTTTAAAAAAGAAAGAAATCTTCTCTCTTTTTCCTGGACTAAACTAAAAAAGTGTCACAAGCCGAGGGTGTCCCAAAATTTACTTCGTAGTTTTAGTCGTATTTTTGAAATTTTGTAAAACGTTTTTTTCAAATATTATGGCTTTATTAAAGCCCGTAATTTAAAATTTAAAAATAATATTTTTTTGCTCTCTGGGGTCAGTGACAGGTAAAGTAAATTTCTTAGGGATTTTGGTGTTCAAAACCCAGAATAAAGTAAGAAACCCTGTGCAAAAATTGGCATATTTATTTCCAAATTTCGCCTACACAGTAGGCTTTGTCTGTACGAAAGTAAGCAAAAACAAAACTGTGTGAAGCATGGCAACACTGTGTGATGCATTTTGGGAAAACCTGTGGAAGTAGCAAAACCGTGGAAGATGGCAACATGTGTGATGCATGGAAACACTGTTTGAAGCATGGGGAACACTTTTGTGATGCATGGCAAAATTGTGAAGCTAGCAACACTGTTTTGAAGCATAGCAAAACTGTGTGAGCATGGCAACCTGTGTGATGCTGGCAAACACTGTGTGATGCTGGCAAAACTTGTGATGATGGCAAAAACTGTGTGATGATGGAAACTGTGTGAAGCATGGCAACACTGTGTGAAGCATAGCAACACTGTGTGAAGCATGCAACACTGTGTGAAGCATAGCAACACTGTGTGATGCATGGCAACACTGTGTGAAGCATAGCAACACTGTGTGATGCATGGCAACACTGTGTGATGCATGGCAAAACTGTGTGAACATGGCAAAACTGTGTGAAGCATAGCAACACTGTGTGAAGCATGAAAAACTGTTGAAGCAGGCAACACTGTGTGAAGCATGCAAAAACCCGTGTGATGCATGGTAACACGTGTGAAGCATAGCAACACGTGTGAAGCATAGCAACACTGTGTGTGCTGGCAAAAACTGTGTGAAGCATTTGCAAAACTGTGTGATGCTGGCAACCTGTGTCTGCTGGCAAAATGTGGATGCAAAGGCAACACTGTGTGAAGCATAGCACACTGTGTGAAGCATGACAACACTGTGTGATGCATGGCAACACTGTGTGAAGCATAGCAACACTGTGTGATGCATGGCACACTGTGTGAAGCATGGCAACCTGTGTGATGCATGGGAACACGGGGTGTGCATGGGAACACTGTGTGAAGCATGGCAAAACTGTGTGAAGTGGAACACGTGGAAGCTGGCAACACTGTGTGATGCATGGCAACACGGGGGAAGCTGGCACACTGTGGATGCTGGCAACACGTTGAAGCTGCAACACGGTGTGCATGGCAACCTGTGGATGCATGGCAACACTGTGTGATGCATGGAACACTGTTGAAGCTTGCAACCCCTAGTGATGCATGGGAAAAACCCGTGTGAAACATGGCAAAACTGGGAAGCAGGCAACCTTTGGAAGCATGCAACACTGTGTGAAACATCAAAACTTGTGGAAGCATGGCAACACTGTTGAACATGGCAACATGTCTTCATGGGATGTGAAGAAGGGAAATTAGCAATGTTGAACAGGCCATAATAGCTTTCTGTAGTGTACTAACCTACTTGTGGTTGCAAGGGTTGATTCACAGCTCCTGGCCCCGTATGTGTGTGGTGTGTGTGTGTGTGTGTGTGTGTGTGTGTGTGTGTGTGTGTGTGTGTGTGTGCATGCGTACGCGCACGCGCACGCAAAAGGTGGTGGGGCTACAAGAATACAAACTTATTTTTGTATTGTAGTGTAGAAAATTTTGTGCACTACAATACAAGAAGAAAGAATGAGAGAGGTAGGTGGTGACTGCAGTCCTTCACAGAAGGTACTTTACAAACACACACACTAGCATAGCAACACAGCTAAAACAAGAAGCAAGAATGATAGCTTTGTTGAACACAGAACTGTCACATAACAGTTACTAGCTACCTCGCCCGTTACTAGCTCAGCCTTGAAACACTTTCATGTATAAATATAGATAAATAGCTATATAACTATATAAATATTAATATATTTACAAATAAATTATTATATAAATATAGGCAATTGGAATTATTATTATTATTATTATAGGTAATTAGGTATTTCTAGCATGTATTAAGTCAAAATGAGCAACCTCAATGACCCTCTAGTCGACAGGCTTGAAACCTGGCGAACTGACTAACCAGAGCGTACACAAATAAACGTATATATTCTGTTATGAGATCAAACAACGAGGCTACAGTAATACTGCAATGGCTTATAAGCACAAAACCCGCCTGAGGACTGGGAAGCATACTGCTAGGTGACCCGCTCAGGTACTCCAAGTGCACTTATACTAATCCTTACTACCCGCGACTCAGTGAGGTATGTACTCTCTTGTGATCTAGACTTGACAAAGCATGTACAGCAAAGCTCTAAACTTCCTTATTTAACCTATCTGGCTTTTATCTACCTTATCTGGGTTTCTATCTAACCCTACCTGGACATTTATTTACACTACCTGGGCTTTTATCTACCCTAACTGCGATTATATCCACCTTACCTGGCTTACATTTCACAAAAAAAGTCTTCAGCTTGAGAAGATTCTGCGAGTGTGATATCTGTAAGAGAATTCAAGAACTATCGATGGTGTGGAAAATCGTAATTCTCGGTAGACAGCCTCAGGAAGTTCTCTCTCCTTTCCAAGTGCTTCATGCACAAGCTGGATGAACCGCTGTCAGCCTCTTGATGCTCACGTTAGCTGTCAGTCCCAAAAGATGCGTATGCAATATTTGTGCAATAGAAACAGACGAAGTAAATAATATATATATACATGTATAATATATAATATATATATATATATATATATATATATATATATATATATATATATATATATATATATATATATATATATATTTGTAGCTGCCTTACTGTGCCACTACTTTCAGTACACAGAGCCACTCTTAAGACTTCAGCTTCTGGTTCCTTGTGAGTCTTGACCACTTCAAGCACATTCTTCTGGGCAATGCTGAGACGTGTTCCAGATTTTGGACGGATTTGTAAAGCTAAGCACATTACCGTGGACACCTTTGGTCAAATTTCTAAGAAAAATAAATTGAGCAATATGGAAGAATATCCACTGAATCTGCCCCTATGAGAGATGAAGAATCTTCTCCTCTCAGCGGAGTGAATTACCAGATGTGTTCACTGATGTACGACACCGGGTAACAGCACATCCCAAAGCGGATGATAAATCTGTGTAATAATACTGTCTATCACACCGAGATAAGTGTACCCCTCAGTGTATTAACACCGAGATGAGCGTATTATATCAGGGGAATACAAGATACACCGTAGTTTATGGAAGGAGCCAGTATAGAGAGCAGTGTTGGCTACCACTGGCTCTATAGTGACTGCAGGCGCTGATCATCATGCTGAGGACTTTGTTTTCAGTTCAATGAGATATTTGATAGCCTTGGGTCCACATCTGTACACAAGCTGCTTCTCCGACACAGGTTGTAGTGCCCCGGTGGTGTAGTGGTACCTGCAGAGAAACACGTGATGAGCACTCATGCTACCTTGCAATGTCTAACACAATGACCACTAACACTGTGTGATGGTGGAATGATCTTGACTTCCGGTACACCACGAGAGATGAAAGTGACTAACATCGTATTCTTATTTTGACAACGGAAAGTGATGTGGAACTTTAAAAAGAAATCTGCAGCAAGAAAGAAATGATTGCTCTCAATTTCCCGAGATGAAACTGAATGGAGTGACCCTGAGCTTATCCACGAGACGAGGGTCATGAAGGCTGCATGTCACTTATACACCACATCTCAAGGATACTTTAATACTCAAAATAAACATTAATATAAATTAATATATATATACATTCTGCTGTTATCAGTATATACCAAGAAAGAGATACTCATCAGAATATAGTATACAAAGATATATACTCCAAGAGGTGTGTATCTTTTAATTCTTATTTAAGAGATTAGAGTATTCTTGACTGGTGGTGTATATGTGATGTGGAGTCTTAATGACCCTCGTGTAGTAGTAGTTAATCCCCACCAAGCCAGCAGCTGGAAAAGCCAAACTTACCTCAGCCCTCTGGCGAAGTTATCGTAGGAGAGGTTGGGCTTATCAGCCCTCTGCCCCCACATCCTGGCGATGACTGAGGGCTGGACCAGACGGAAGGTTCCTTGGGCTTGCTCTTCCCAGCGGATCAGTGAAGGATTGGTCTGAGGATCAGCTAGGAGACGAATCACAAACTCCCAGTTTTTAGGTCCGCGTTCTGTGAGATGTGTTAAATATGATGATTAATAATAATAAATAATAATAATAATAATAATAATAATAATAATAATAATAATAATAATAATAATAATAATAATAATAATAATAATAATAATAATAATTTAAAATTTTTTATTATTATTAAATTTTTATTATATTATTATTATTATTATTATTATTATTATTATTATTATTCACTGTGAAGTAAAAATTTGGATTATTTTAAATGTTATTATAATTCAGTGACGCGTAAGGTGTTGGCAGTGACCCCAAGACACTGCCACCCAGTGCCACCACTACGTACCTCGTTTCTTAGCATGGGGACGAATCTTTTTGAGTGGATCATTGGAGAGCACCGGGGTACTGTCCCCAGTCACTGTCATCTCTGTCACTGGCTCTGGTGGGAGGCTTTGACTGTCTGTGGACAGGGAGAAAAACATTCATTATCATCATCTGTTGTCATTATTTTTATACCACATCATCACCAATTCTCTCGATAAGATCTTTTAACACACAGCAACAACAACTACTACTACTAATACTACAATTACTACTAACTACTACTACACACGACACTCACCACAATAGATAGGCACAGACTGCTCAAAGAGGTCCATCTCTTGTAGTCCCCAGGCAGAAGGATCGCAGGAATCTCCTGTACCGATGTATCTGTCCAGATCCTTCATGTCATCAGTCGTCAGTGTCCAGCAGTCAGTCGAGGTGGTGTCACAGTTACCCTCGTAGCCGCCGCTGCTACCCTCGTAGCTACTCCTGCTACCCTCGTAGCCGCCGCTGCTACCCTCGCAGCTACTGATGCTACCCTCGTAGCCACTGATGCTACCCCAGCTGTAGTCACTGTAGCTTGACGCTCCAACACCCTCTAGCGTCAGCTGCTGCTGCTGCTGCTTCCGTCCACCTGAGGAGGCAGGAAACGCCTGTTAAAACACCTGCTGACTCATTTACCAACACGTGTCAAACTTACACGATTAATACGTCACCTGTAAATGATATAATTTAGTAAGTAGACTTCAAAATAGACAGGATCCATGTTTAGTTTTAACAATAGCTGTGACAGAGTCCATGTAGCCAGGACAGAGGAAAGCCATTAGCGACCGGCGGACAGGCGGGACCAGGAGCTGAGGCTCAACCCCTACAACCACAGAGGTGAGTCCACATAGGTGCGTACAACTTAAAACAATCACAAAACTAAGCGTACAGCTTCGTGTTCCAACAGCCACTGACAAAACAGCCCAAAAAGGTCGGTTTCAGATTTTTAGCTCTTGGGACCTTACTTATAAGAGGAGGGTTATGACGAGTTGCTAATTTTAATGAAGAACTTGAGATGTAAATTCCCATGTGATATCTTGTGGCTGTCTCTTGTGAGTAATTTCAAGACTTCAGTAGAACCTTATGCCGAACTCTGTAATGTTCATTTTGTGCAAATTTAGGTAGAGAGGGTTGAGCTTATGAAATACTGGGACACTAAATTGAGATCAGTGTGGTAGAGGAGGCTGGGTTTATGAAATACTGGGATACCTTATTGAGATCAGTATGGTAGAGGAGGCTGGGTTTATGAAATACTGGGATACCTTATTGAGATCATTGTGGTAGAGGAGGCTGGGTTTATGAAATACTGGGATACCTTATTGAGATCAGTGTGGTAGAGGAGGCTGGGTTTATGAAATACTGGGATACCTTATTGAGATCAGTATGGTAGAGGAGGCTGGGTTTATGAAATACTGGGATACCTTATTGAGATCAGTATGGTAGAGGAGGCTGGGTTTATGAAATACTGGGATACCTTATTGAGATCAGTATGGTAGAGGAGGCTGGGTTTATGAAATACTGGGATACCTTATTGAGATCAGTATGGTAGAGGAGGCTGGGTTTATGAAATACTGGGATACCTTATTAAGATCATTGCGGTAGAGGAGGCTGGGTTTATGAAATACTGGGATACCTTATTGAGATCAGTGTGGTAGAGGAGGCTGGGTTTATGAAATACTGGGATACCTTATTGAGATCAGTGTGGTAGAGGAGGCTGGGTTTATGGAAATACTGGGATACCTTATTGAGATCAGTGTGGTAGAGGAGGCTGGGTTTATGAAATACTGGGATACCTTATTGAGATCAGTATGGTAGAGGAGGCTGGGTTTATGAAATACTGGGATACCTTATTGAGATCAGTATGGTAGAGGAGGCTGGGTTTATGAAATACTGGGAAAACCTTATTGAGATCAGTATGGTAGAGGAGGCTGGGTTTATGAAATACTGGGATACCTTATTGAGATCAGTATGGTAGAGGAGGCTGGGTTTATGAAATACTGGGATACCTTTCTGGTATGAAACAGGAACACGTCATCTTAATCTTAATATCAGCAGTGAGAGACAGCCAGAGTTGTATTGTTCTTCCACAGCCCTGTGTTGTCAACACATACATACATATGCACATACACACACACACACATGTACACATACACACACACACATACACACACATACATAGACATACATACATACACATACACACACACATACACACACACATACACACACATATATAGACATACATACATACACATACACACACATATACACATACACACACACACATATACACATACACACACATATATAGACATACATACATACACATACACACACACATGTACACATACACACACAAATACACACACATACTTAGACATACATACATACACATATACACAAACACACACACACACACACACACACACACACACACACACACACACACACACACACACACACACACACACACAAATCGGATGAGGATCAGGCAGGACTACAAAGAGACCTGGACAGGCTACAAGCCTGGTCCAGCAACTGGCTCCTTGAGTTTAACCCTGCCAAATGCAAAGTCATGAAGATTGAGGAAGGGCAAAGAAGATCGCAGACACAATATAGTTTAGATGGCCAAAGACTGCAAACCTCACTCAAGGAAAAATATTTGGGGGTGAGTATAACACCGAGCATATCTCCTGAGGCGCACATCAATCAGATAACTGCTGCAGCATACGGGCGCCTGGCAAACCTACGGATGGCGTTCCGATACCTCAGTAAGGATTCGTTTAAGACTCTGTACACCATTTACGTCAGGCCCATACTAGAGTATGCAGCACAGTTTGGAATCCACACCTAGTCAAGCACGTCAAGAAATTAGAGAAAGTGCAAAGGTTTGCAACAAGACTAGTCCCAGAGCTACGGGGATTGTCCTACGAAGAAAGGTTGAGGGAAATCGGCCTGACGACACTGGAGGACAGGAGGGTCAGGGGAGACATGATAACAACATATAAAATACTGCGCGGAATAGACTAGGTGGACAAAGACGGGATGTTCCAGAGAAGGGACACAGACACAAGAGGTCACAATTGGAAGTTGAAGACTCAGATGAATCAAAGGGATGTTAGGAAGTATTTCTTCAGTCATAGAGTAGTCAGGCCGTGGAATAGCCTAGAAAGTGACGTAGTGGAGGCGGGAACCATACATAGTTTTAAGGCGAGGTATGATAAAGCTTATGGGGCAGGGAGAGAGAGTACCTAGTAGCAATCAGCGAAGAGGCGGGGCCAGGAGCTATGAATCGACCCCTGCAACCACAAATAGGTGAGTACACACACACACACACACACACACACACACACACACACACACACACACACACACACACACACACACACACACACACACACACACACACACACACACACACACACACTCACACTCACACACACTACCAACAACAAGCCAAGTGTCTATCGACAAGTGTCTTTGACAACTGGTAACTAACACACGCACAGAGGACGGGATATAGGTGGAAGCTGAAGACACAGATGAACCAAAGGGATGTTAGGAACTATTTCTTTACGCTTAAAGTGGTTGATAATTGGGATGACTTAAAAGAGGCAGTGGTGGAGGCAAACTCGATACACAGCTTCAAGACTAGACATGATAAGGCCCAAGAGGCCAGAAATCAATGATGCTGATCAAGATGACCCGCTGAGGCCACACTTTTGTAAGTTAATGCTCTTACTATATTCCGTGAGAATCTCTGGGACACAGGAGATAGTCAGATTTAATCGGAGCACAGGGGAGGTAGCTCCGATTCCTCGGACCAAGTACTAGGAAGATATAAGAAGTGAAACTGATTCTCCTGTGCGTTCCACAGGAAAGTGCTAGGAAGATTCAAAGAAAGTGACTCCTATGTGTACTCACCAGTGTATCTGTCCTCCTTGAGCTGACAGAACTCCTGGTAGAAGAGAGGTCCGTAGACGGTGCCCAGGAGGCGGCAGAAGTCCTGGCAGGAGTACAACAGGAGGTTGCTACCGCAGGTGCTACGTAGCTCCCATAGGTCCAGTGTTGTCTGGTCCAGTCCACGACGCTTGCACACGCTACCAGCCCAGTCCAGGCAATCCTGCAAACACAGCAGATGTCAAGGAAGATGTTATGATGACCAATTGCTGTTGTCTACACACGAGGGAAAGACAAGAAGACTTCAAGCAGCAAGACAGAAGGCAGAAGGAACACTTTAGTTAAAACAATGTTTTGCTTGGACACCAAGTTTAGAAAACAAGCTCTGGAAACCAAGCTTTCTCAAGTTTACAATAGACAGATTATCACTTTAGTCGTGGAAAGAGAGATATGAATTACGAGAATATAACAATAGACCAAACATATTCACTGTCACTTATTATTTTTAGAAGTAGTAGTAGTAGTATTGTGGGTCTTTAAGCACAAGGAGTGGGGGACGTTCGATATTCTTTCTCCCATCGAAACCGCCTTTCTGACCAACCACACTGCTCGTAATAAGACAGATAGAGACGAAGATGCTGCTGACACACTGAAGGAGGCTCTGGACACGTTTCCATAGCTATTATGTTAGATAAGACACATGTGCAACAGTTAGGTATCTTTATTTCGAAACGTTTCGCCTAAACAATAGCCTTCTTCAGTCGAGTACAGAAAAGTTGATAGAAGCAGAAGAGACTTAAAGACGATGTAATCAGTCCATCACCCTTGAAGTTTTGAGGTAGTCAGTCCCTCAGTCTGGAGAAGAGTATTGTTCCATAGTCTGAAACAATATGGAACAATACTCTTCTCCAGACTGAGGGACTGACCACCTCAAAATTTCGAGAGTGATGGACTGATTACATCGTCTTCAAGTCTCTTCTGCTTCTATCAACTTTTCTGTACTCGACTGAAGAAGCCTACTGTGTAGGCGAAACGTTTCGAAATAAAGATACCTAACTGTTGCATATGTGTCTTATCTAACAACCTGTCGGTATTTTATACCATTTTGATGTTTAGCTATTATAACACACAAATAACCCGCACATAGAAGAGAGGAGCTTACGACGACGTTTCGGTACGACTTGGACCATTTACAAAGTCACACTAACGAGAAGTAGAGCAGGACGGGTATATATAGGCAGGAAGAGGTAGTAGTAGTAGTAGTAGTAGTAGTAGTAGTAGTAGTAGTAGTAGTAGTAGTAGTAGTAGTGGTAGTAGTAGTAGTAGTAGTAGTGGCGGAGATGGAAGGAAGTAGTAATGGGGAAGTAAGGAGGAGGAGCCAGTCAAATACAAAGAAAGGGGAGCACTGCAAGGGAGCTAGGTGCCCACAGAGGGAGCTAGGTGCCCACAGAGGGAGCTAGGTGCCCACAGATGGAGAGCAAGAACACAGAAGTGGGGGGGAGGGGAAATAATGAAATTAATAATGAAGGAACATTATTGTCATTTAGCTATTATAATGTGGGGAGACTTACTAAACACTTAGGGGTTCACACAACGCCTGGGAAATAGAAGGTCCTCAGGTTTGGTTCAGTATTGGAAAGGTCGGCTCCAGTTCTGCGAACCAAGAACCCATCACCGTTATCACAGCCCCTTCAACCTTGCCCTGAAAGGTGTTAATTGTAAGGGCTTAGATGAACGGGCTTAGTTACCGAGGAAACCATAAGCTTTGCTATTTCCGAAAGGTAAACACTATCTTAGTGCTTTCATCAGCTCAGCTACGTGAATGATAACTTAAAGGTAAGACTTGAGGGAGAGCCTTCGTGGAGGCTGCCCCTCGAGGTTAAAGTGTGAGGCAAACACGGTGAGTTTCTTTAAGGTAGGACTTTGAGAGAGACGTCATTTGGAGAAGAACATAAAACATAAAATTGGAGGCACACTGCAGCAGGCCTATTGGCCCATACTTGCCACTGTCTTCTCAGATTCAGTTTTTTCACTTAAGTATTTGTCCAGCCTATTCTCAAAAGTACTACCTATTTTATCTCGCGAACCTTGTGAGAGGTTATTTGAATGAGGACTTTGTGAGAGGTCCTACAAAGAAAAGCCTTGTAAAAGGTCTCTAGAAGGAGTACCATACATGCAGAATTACCAATAATATGTTAGGTACAAAGATACATGTGCAACTAATGTGACATTTTATTGTGGCAACGTTTCGGTCTCCTGGAGCTTTGTCAAGGATTGACAAAGCTCCTGGAAATATATGACGTCAAGGCTTGACAAAGCTCCAGGAGAGCGAAACGTTGCCACAATAAAATGTCATATTAGTTGTACGTGTCCTTGTACCTAACAAGGAGTACCAAAAGTAAGACTGGAGAGAGGCCATGAAGGCTGCACTTACCTCGCCTCTCCAGTCACCGATGTCTATCTTGGAGAAGGTTTCAATCTCGTCCAGGAGTCCGGTGGTGTTGTGGGTCTCCAGGGTGCTGAAGGTGTTAAGGTTGCCCAGGTAGGTCTGGCATAAGCTGTCAATGCTGGCATCGTGGCCGAAGAGTGGTTCTTCGAGAGTAAAAGAAGCTCTCAGATCCTCGTAGCTGGAATTATCCATGGTTGAAGGTCGTCGTTCGCCGGAGTATATGTGGCAATGTTTTGGGTTTTGTTTATACGAACTACTGAAGATGTGTACGAGGAGAGCTTTGTACTCGAAGTTGCGGGAAGCTACACGCTCTTGCCTCGTGGTGAAGAAGGAGAAGACTGTTGGATTATGCTACCGACGGCCATTTTAAACCAGACAGCTCCACCACGGGGAAATATATGACGTCAATACAAATGCTTCTTCCTATTTGCTCACGTCACGACGTATCTACGTGGCCATTATGTCACCAACTAACGATGGTGTGTGTGTGTATAACTGACCGTGAGCGTATTATGTTACTACCTGGCGACAGTGTGTGTACCTAGCAAGAAAGTGTGTGCACCTAGCTGTGTGTGTATGTCACCACCTTGGGACACTGAACGTACCAAGGTGTGAGTGCATTATGTCATCACCTGACGACAGTGTCTACGTGGACGTGAGTATGTGTACCTAGTCGTGACTGTATAATGCTATCATCTATGAATTGTGTGCACCTGGCAATTTCTGACGCCTTAGACTGAAATAATAATAGTTACACAAACTTCAGTACATGTAGATAAATTAGACACATGTGCAACTCTTGGGTATCTTTATTAAGGAAACGTTTCGCCACACAGTGGCTTCATCAGTCCATACAAAGGAGAATCTTGAAGAAAAGGAGGAGAATGAGGGAATCAGTCCCTCAACCTTGAGTCGATGTGGTCATATGCCGTATTCTATTCAAGATTGATGGACTGACCACATCGACTCAAGGTTGAGGGACTGATTACCTCATTCTCCTCCTTTTCTTCAAGATTCTCCTTTGCATGGACTGATGAAGCCACTGTGTGGCGAAACGTTTCCTTAATAAAGATACCCAAAGGTTGCATATGTGTCTAATTTATCAACGTGTCGGTTCTGTGAACCATTCATCTACAATTCAGTACATGTACTTTGTATGGCAACCTTGAAGACCTTAGTTATGTCAGCTTGCTTCGGTAAGTACGAAGCTGTGGCATCGTCCTAATTCCCCTCCCAGATAATACGTTTATGACAGTGGTTATCGAACAGGGAGTTACGTTATCCACTTTTTAGGAGCATCCAAAGATTTTTACTCAGTCCCTGGGCGAAAACAAGTCTTCCCAAGAAAACTTCCTGTGTACCAGGAAAAATCGTGAACCTAGTCTCAGTACCATAAGTCTTCAGTATAAGGTTCTCAGAGGGAAGGGCGAGTTGATAAAACCTCCACTATCATCTTATTTTGATGGATTAACTATAATTGTTGTGTTTTGTTATGTTCAAACTATAATTGTTGTGTTCTTCCATGTTCCAACTATAATTGTCGTGTTTTTCCATGTTTCAACTCGTTCACTCTAGTGTAGACATGAATGGGCCATGTGTCCAGAGGTATACAGTAACAGTAACTGGTTTTAGAGCAACGTTGAATTCAGGCACTTGCAAATTATTATCTAGCTGATGTAATCCAGCTCTAGTGAGGTAGTTATTGTAAACTAAGCAAGAGTAAGAGTGCTCTAGATGCTGTCAGGGAAAGAAGAGAGAGTTAGAGGTGTATCATAAATGGTATTCATTCATAATAACTGGCATTCTCAACTTGTAGATTTTCTAATCCACTTACGTCAGATAATACCGACGTGTTGATGAGGAAGACACATGTACAACACTAGCAATCTTTATTGACCAAACGTTTCGCCTGTGATGCAAGCTTCACCGATAGAACACTCCTTTCATCAACGTTGATGTCTCCAGGAGTGTGATTCATCTCTGTATTGGACAGATGAAACCTGCAATGCAGGCGAAAAGTTACATCATTAAGGACTCCCATTGTGACACATGTGTCTTAATTGTCAGTTAGAGATGCAGGTGAGTGTCGATATTCATCATGCAACACCTAGTGTTGCTATACCTAGTGTTGCTATACCTAGTGTTGCTATACCTAGTGCTGCTATACCTAGTGCTGCAATAACTAGTGTTGCTATACCTAGTGTTGCTATACCTAGTGTTGCTATAACTAGTGTTGCTATAACTAGTGTTGCTATACCTAGTGTTGCTATACCTAGTGTTATTAGTGCAGAATAAAAGTTGTATATACAAACTTTTCTCAGGAAAAGAACTACACTATATATATATATATATATATATATATATATATATATATATATATATATATATATATTATATATATATAATATATATATATATATATATATATATATATATAAAAGATAGGTGAATTATGTGTTTCAAAAAGACGGTCTTTATTATATTCAGGTAATGATTTCGAAAACTTTTTCAGCTGACCAGAAACGTTTTTGAGATAACCTGGTTAAGTGGTGACTGTATACCAGTGGTGACTGTATACCAGTGGTGACTGTATACCAGTGGTGACTGTATACCAGTGGTGTCTGTATACCGGTGGTGAGTGTTTACCAGTGGTGACTGTATACCAGTGGTGACTGTATACCAGTGGTGACTGTATACCAGTGGTGACTGTATACCAGTGGTGACTGTATACCAGTGGTGACTGTATACCAGTGGTGTCTGTATACCAGTGGTGTCTGTATACCAGTGGTGACTGTATACCAGTGGTGACTGTATACCAGTGGTGACTGTATACCAGTGGTGTCTGTATACCAGTGGTGACTGTATACCAGTGGTGACTGTATACCAGTGGTGACTGTATACCAGTGGTGTCTGTATACCAGTGGTGTCTGTATACCAGTGGTGTCTGTATACCAGTGGTGTCTGTATACCAGTGGTGACTGTATACCAGTGGTGACTGTATACCAGTGGTGACTGTATACCAGTGGTGAGTGTTTACCAGTGGTGTCTGTATACCAGTGGTGTCTGTATACCAGTGGTGTCTGTATACCAGTGGTGTCTGTATACCAGTGGTGTCTGTATACCAGTGGTGACTGTATACCAGTGGTGACTGTATACCAGTGGTGAGTGTTTACCAGTGGTGTCTGTATACCAGTGGTGACTGTATACCAGTGGTGTCTGTATACCAGTGGTGTCTGTATACCAGTGGTGACTGTATACCAGTGGTGACTGTATACCAGTGGTGACTGTATACCAGTGGTGTCTGTATACCAGTGGTGTCTGTATACCAGTGGTGACTGTATACCAGTGGTGACTGTATACCAGTGGTGTCTGTATACCAGTGGTGACTGTATACCAGTGGTGACTGTATACCAGTGGTGACTGTATACCAGTGGTGACTGTATACCAGTGGTGACTGTATACCAGTGGTGACTGTATACCAGTGGTGTCTGTATACCAGTGGTGACTGTATACCAGTGGTGACTGTATACCAGTGGTGTCTGTATACCAGTGGTGACTGTATACCAGTGGTGACTGTATACCAGTGGTGACTGTATACCAGTGGTGTCTGTATACCGGTGGTGTCTGTATACCGGTGGTGAGTGTATACCAGTGTTGACTGTATACCAGTGGTGACTGCATACCAGTGGTGTCTGTATACCGGTGGTGAGTGTATACCAGTGTTGACTGTATACCAGTGGTGACTGTAAGCGAATGATGGCTGTATACCAGTGGTGACTGTATACCAGCGGTGACTGTATACTAGTGGTGATTGTGTACCTGTGGTGACTGTATACCAGTGGTGACTGAATACCAGTGGTGACTGTATACCAGTGGTGACTGTTTACCAATGGTGACTATACCGGTGGTGACTGTATACCAGTGGTGAATGTATACCAGTGGTGAATGTATACCAGTGATGACTGTATACCAGTGGTGACTGTATACCAGTGGTGACTATGCCGGTGGTGACTGTATACCAGTGGTGACTGTATACTAGTGGTGACTGTATACCAGTGGTGACTGTATACCAGTGGTGACTGCAAACGAGTGATGACTGTATACCAGTGGTGACTGTATGCCAGTGGTGACTGTATACCAGTGGTGACTGCATACCAGTGGTGACTGTATACCAGTGGTGACTGTATACCAGTGGTGACTGTATACCAGTGGTGACTGTATACCAGTGGTGACTGTATACCAGTGGTGACTGTATACCAGTGGTGACTGTATACCAGTGGTGACTGTATACCGGTGGTGAGTGTATACCAGTGTTGACTGTATACCAGTGGTGACTGCAAACGAGTGATGACTGTATACCAGTGGTGACTGTATACCAATGGTGACTATACCGGTGGTGACTGTATACCAGTAGTGAATGTATACCAGTGGTGACTGTATATCAGTGGTGACTGTATACCAGTGGTGACAATGCCGGTGGTGACTGTATACCAGTGGTGACTGTAAACGAGTGGTGACTGTATACCAGTGGTGAGTGCATACCAGTGATGACTGTATATCAGTGGTGACTGTATACCAGTGGTGACTGTATGCCAGTGGTGAGTGCATACCAGTGATGACTGTATATCAGTGGTGACTGTATACCAGTGGTGACTGTATGCCAGTGGTGAGTGCATACCAGTGATGACTGTATATCAGTGGTGACTGTATACCAGTGGTGACTATGCCGGTGGTGACTGTATACCAGTGGTGACTGTATGCCAGTGGTGAGTGCATACCAGTGGTGACTGTAAACGAGTGGTGACTGTATACCAGTGGTGACTGTATACCAGTGGTGACTGTATGCCAGTGGTGAGTGCATACCAGTGATGACTGTATATCAGTGGTGACTGTATACCAGTGGTGACTGTATGCCAGTGGTGAGTGCATACCAGTGATGACTGTATATCAGTGGTGACTGTATACCAGTGGTGACTATGCCGGTGGTGACTGTATACCAGTGGTGACTATGCCGGTGGTGACTGTATACCAGTGGTGACTGTATGCCAGTGGTGAGTGCATACCAGTGGTGACTGTAAACGAGTGGTGACTGTATACCAGTGGTGACTGTATACCAGTGGTGACTGTATGCCAGTGGTGAGTGCATACCAGTGGTGACTGTATACTAGTGGTGACTGTATACCAGTGGTGACTGTATACCAGTGGTGAGTGTATACCAGTGGTGACTGTATGCCAGTGGTGAGTGCATACCAGTGGTGACTGTATAC